GTCAGTAAACCATCTGAAAGTGTATGTGTCAGTGGCGTTGAGTGCAGTCACAGTATTGTGCAAACTGCCTCCTCTGTCTAGTTTCACAATGTTCCCATCACCGCAGGAACCTGTACCTGTTAACAGTCACTTCCCATCCCCATCCTTGGACCCTGGCAACCATTCAGCTGCTTTCTGACTGGCTTTGCATCTTCAGAACATGCCGTGTACGTGGAATAACACACTAGGCGACTTTGTGTGCCTGGCTTCTTTGACTCAGCAGGGCGTTTTCAGGGTTCACCCACATAGCGTGTGGTGGTGGTGGTGTTAGGTGCTGGTTGGGTTGGCTCCGACTTGTAGCGACCCTGTGCCCAGCAGAACGAAACACTGCCCGGTCCTGCGCCAGCTCCATGATCCTTGCTATCCCTGAGCCCGTCGTCGCAGCCACCGTGTCAGTCCATCTCGTTGAGGGCCTTCCCCTTTTTCCGCTAACCCTCTACTTTGCCAAGCATGACATCCTTCTCCAAGAAATGGTCCCTTATGATAACGTGACCAAAGTAAGTGAGACGAAGTCTGTCCATTTCTGCTTCCAAGGAGCACTCTCTGGCTGTACTTCCTCCAGGACAGACTTGTTGGATCATCTGGCGATCCATGGCACTTTCAGCATTCTTCACCAACACCACAACTCAAAAGCATCCATCTTCTTCTGTCTTCCTTATTCATTGTCGAGCTTTCACATGCATATGAGGTGATTGAAAACACAGAGGCTAGGGTTAGGTGCACCTTAATCTTTAAGGAGACATCTTTGCTCTTCACTTTAAAGAGGCCTTTTGCAGCATATTTGATGATCCATATTTGCACCCATTTCAAAGAAAGGTGATCCCACAGAATGTGAAAATTATTGAACAATATCCTTAATATCACATGGAAGTAAAATTTTGCTGAAGATAATTTTAAAATGGTTGCAGCATTATATTGACAGGGAACTTCAGGAATGGAAGCTGTATTCAGAAGAGGATGTGGAACAAGGGATATCATTGCTGATGTCAGATGGATCTTGGCTGAAAGCAAAGAATACCAGAAAGTTGTTTTATTGACTATACGTAGCATGTATCAGTATTGCATCCTTTTTCTAGCTGAATATTC